ATTAGGATTATCACTCGTACTCTGATTCTGATTATTTTTGTTGGAACGACGATCACGGCGGGAGCTGAAGAAGGATTCATTATTGGTCGGGTCCATTGCAGTAGAGGGGTGATGAACAGAATGTTAAATGTTAACGGAAATGTTAAGAGAAGGGCTGATTTGCCACTGCAGGGGAGTTGAGGGGCTGATTTGCGCGTGAAATGGGTTGAGGGGGTGATTTGCCACCAGTTATTGAGTTCAGGGGCTGATCTGCACCTTTTGCCTTAATAATATTTGCGAGGCGAGAAATTTCACTCTGGTGAAGTTTGCATTGATAATATTACTATGTTCTATATTGAACATTCTGCACTGATATAAGATTAATCTCCTTTGTGCCTCAAGGAGCAAACCATACAAGATGGAAGACATAAATGGAGTTTTATATAAAAGTTGAAATTTACATATTAAGAAATGTTGGTTTGCCTTTCATCAGCACCCTTAAACATAATATCAAGAACACATAGACAAAGAAGCAAGAGCATAACTCTGCACTCAGGGGCGGACCTACTAGGAAGAGCATTTTTCATTTATATCGATCCCTGCCTTTGCTGGTTCTGCCTTGCCAATATTGTGCTGCCACCCCAAAAAAGAAAAAGAAAGAAAGAAATGGTAAGTTCAATTTCCCTTTTTCTTTACCCTGCAAATTAAAGCAAATGTAGCAAAACATATATGAGGAACAAAACCAACCGGAGCAATTGAGCAAGCTGAGTGGCCTTAGCGAAATCGCCTTCTTCACGAGCCTTGAGGATCTTAAACATGAGACACAGATTAAGTTTGCTGGCAGCGCTCTGTCGGATCATGAGATCAGTTTCAGTCCTGAGTTGTGCACATTCAGCTTCAATTGCTTCCAGTTTTTCTCTCACTTGTTTCTGCCCTTCTTTGATGTTTTGTTGATCCTTGCTAATCTCTTGCATCTCTGCCTTCAACCTTCGGAAGTTGGCCTTCAGATTTTTTACCGCAGTTCTTCCCTTCACACCCAATTGAACAGTTCATTAGAGCTAGCAACAGGATATTAATCGAGGTTCCATCAAAATTTTCTTTGCAACGTCCATGTACTAGTGTGTTTTAACTTGCAAAAAAAGTATCAATAGTAACATTTATAAAGCAAAATGTTCACATTACCCCTCACAAACAGAGGCGGAGCCAGAAATTTTTTTCAGGGGGGGCAAGATGCTAAAATTTTCAAAGTTCAAGAAAAGCTAAATAATTTTTCATATACTAATTTGTAAATTTTTCAAATTTCAGGGGGGGCGAGCGCCACCCCTCGCACCCCCCTGCCTCCGCCACTGCTCACAAATCATATCTAATAATGACCTCAAATATAGCACCTATATTATTATACAACAGTTATTCAGGGCAGCAGTTGGTATTGATGGCCACAAAGAAAGGGTTTGTATTAACTTTTCGAAAAGCAATTCGGAGCAATTAGAATCCGAAGAACACGAGCCAAGCTCGAGTTGATACATTCCTCTTTTGCTTTTATTACATATATTTAATTTGAACTCGATTCCTTTATGTTTGAAACAAACTTGGTTTTGAGTTCAAGCTGCAGCCAAATCAAATTGCTTAGCTTTTCGATTAATAAATTTGTGTAAAACTGAACATTTAACACAAAAAATAGAATAAAATTTCAACTTGAATTTATAATTTTAAGTTTGAATTCAAAGTTCGAGTTACTTATCACTTTCTAAACCTAATTATTTCTCAAAATTTTTTAAAAATACACTAATTCACTCTACATAGGGCTAAGATATGATACATGTTCAAAGTAAAATACATACCTAATATACTTTTTATGAACAGGATCTAAGATATATATATATGTCTATTGAGATAATTGTATAAATCCAAAAAATGAACTTAGTTATTTTTTTTATTTTTTATAAAAAATGAATCAATTGTCAATAAGTTGATTATCAGGCATCAATTTAGTGATAAAGGTTCCTTTAAGGAAAAATAGAAAGATTATGTTGTTTCCTCGTATCTATAAATTAAGTTAAAATTTAATCTTTTAAGGGAGTGATTGTCTTAATTTAATCGATAAAAAATATAATTAAAACCTTCTCACTGTACAATTTCTTCCTCTACCACCTAAATAATCAAATTACTTTTCTCTATCGCAAATTTCATCAACACTTTTCCTAATTCCTTCATGCCAATTCGAAATAGAGGAAACCCTATCATGATCGTTATTATGTTTTTAAGAGAAAAATATGTAAATTAGATCAATACCTTACGCTTCTTCTGTGATCTCAAGAATCGACCCCTTGACGCCCGATCGGGGTAGTGGAGACGACGGTGCAACGATAACGATGCCATTCTCCGGAGAGGATCTTACTGTTAAGAAATCCTCGTTTGGAAGAAAACCCTCGGCCGAAGCTACCATTCAACAACAATGCTGAGATACTGTCATACATATATTATATATAGTACAGGTGAAGTTATTGCCATACCTTAAATGATTAACGTTACACTCTTTTAATATAATTATTTGTTATACCCTTATTTTATATTATTTTTTAAAAATTTATATTTTTTTGTTTTTTAATAAGTTAAAATGTATAATAATCAATTAAAATAAAAAGATATGACATTAGTAATTAAAAGTGTGATAATAGCATTAATCATATAAGACCATTATCATAAATATATAAAGTGGGAATGATTGGCAAAACTTTAAAAAATATTCTTTTTAAAAATATTTTTTATTCTTTTTATACTTGAAATTTTATAAGAGAAAAATTTTAAAATTATATTTAACAATGAATTTTAAGTAAATTTTATAAAAAAATTAAATATATAATTTTTACAAAGTTTACTTAAATTTTATTTTAAAAAATTAATTTTAACTTTATAATAAAAAAATAACTCTTTTAATGAATGTACATTTTAGACCTTTGCCAAATACTCATTGCTCTAAATCTCTCTTAACCACTAAGACTTTATTTTATTTAAAACAGAACCTTTATTTTGTTTAGTACAAGGTTACTTTCTTTTTCTTTCTTTTTAACAAATGTCGTGAGACCGAATTAAATCATTGTCCGGGGGAGGGGGGTGAACTTTTAAGATAGCGGAGGCCACTTTGCCTATGGGCTAGGTTCATTCAAGGTTACTTTCTTTTGATGCTTTACCCCTACGTGGAAAGAATATTATATGACTCAACAACAGCGGTGAACTCCGCCTTTAGATGTTTGTTTTTGACTCAGCGAATATCTTTTTATTTATTTATTTATTTTAAATTGTACAAAAATAAAATTTTTAGTTCACCCACGAATACCTTTTTATTTCTTGAGAATAAAAGAACGCCGAAGAAAAAGACAACTTGGTTCTGAAGCAACTTGGGGAAAAAGCACAAAAAACCAAAGCAAGAAGCATCTTTCTTTTGAAAAAAAAAAGTCATCACACTTAAGCATGAAGTCGTCAGATTAGAGAAACAGCGTTCCGAACACACAAGTTTAAACGTTGGAACCATCGCCAAGCTTGTCGCCTTGACCCAGATGGCATAAGCTTCTTCTCCATGAGCAGCTTCATCTCCGATTGCCGTATCCTCCTCCGACATCGTCAGAGGCACAACCAGTTGCGCCAGTAGACATATTAAGGTTGTACTCACGATGTTGATTATAACAACAAACAGAACCCCCAGCAACTCATGAACCCCGATTTGTCTAAATCCAGCGCCCACTCTCCCTCACTGGAATCCATAAAACAGTCCAACGTAGTGCCCTTATCTGCTGTAGAACAAGTGTTCAGCCGTGGTTCGGCAAAGAGACCGACTAGGATTCCCCCTACCCTGCCCGCGACGGCGTGCTTGTGCAGCACCGCCATCGTGTCATCTACCTTCTGAAGAAGCTCCGACTTCTTATGGATGATCATCATTGTGATGATGATCAATTTTGTGGATTGTAAAATAACAAATATATATACTACAGAAAGAATAAAGAGTGGACGGGGAAAGGGAGTAAAAGAATGAATCAGACAGGAGAAAGGATAATTGTTTGAAACTAATTCAAATTTTGAATACAAATGCTTGGCCAAAGGATTGGTTTACACACCTGTCCAATACCAAAAGTCTATTCTTTTACCATATAAACACATCTCATTAGTTGTGTTTCCTCAAAAATCCTCAGCCGGCCTTTACCACGTGAGTTGGATGTTAGGCGTGCCACTTGCTTTGTCTAAAAACAAGAAAATAGGATTTTCCAGACGACCCTTCTCCTTTCCACCGGTCGACCTCCAATGGGATGGCTGGAAAGAACGTCTGTGAAATCAATTGCGCCCCCAGACGATGTTGCAAAACAGAGGGTAGAGTTCTGCAAAATGGGTTACTAATTGCCTTGGAAACCTCCAAGGACTTCACAACCAGACAAGTGTAATAAAAGCTACAAATCCTAAAATAAATGCAATATCCTAAAGCAATTAAACTAATATAAAGAAAAGAATAGAAAATAACATGCCATGAAGATTAAATTCGCAGACAACAGAAAAAATAAAATAACAGACAATGATTTCAACTACACAGCCCATAATGATAACTAAAACTGAAGAAGAAACTATGAAATGATTAACGTCTGGAAACTTACAAATTTAAATCTGGAAATTGAAATTATGCATGTCTGGATATTGTGCAAAAACAAAAGAACAAAGGTAGAAAATGTTCAATCTATTTACATGAACGAATAACATAACTAAATCCATAAAAAGAGAAGAACTAACCGAATCAAAAGGGCAGACCTGTTTTGAAGGCTAAGTTGCTTCCAAATGCTTAAAAACTAATCTAAATTGGAATTTGTGGGAGAAAATATGATGAACAAACCTAGGCTAAGGCTATGAACTAATCTGGAAAATCTGGAAAGTCAGGAAAATCTGGAAACTATTGCTGAAATCTGGAAAATGCAGTCTGAAAGCTGAAAAACATGCTCTGGGCAGTCTGTGTATGTGTTAGGCAGGCCTCTAACTGTTCTCTTCTCTCTGTTTTTGTTCCCTTCGATGCTGATAACCTCCTCCATGATCTTCTCCATGATCTTCGGTACTGTCCTCCATTTTCGGCACTGTTCCTCCATGATCTGGTAATGGGATTGCAGGTCTGGCAGTTATTTAATAGTTATCTGATTTTTATTTAACCTTATCTCCAACAACCTTAAAGATAACTACCTAAAAATCCTCAATTTCCCATTTTAAATCAAACTCAAACTACCAGATCCAATCTTATCTTCTGCCACCTAAGATCCAACCTCCTTGGAAATCCGTCTGGGCCATTAAATTGTAAGCCAGCCCAGCCCAAATCCAGCCCATTGATTTTCTTAATAATTGGGCTTTACCTTGACACATGACCTTACCCTATTGGTTTATTTTAGGTGTAAACAAGTTGTAAACATATACTTGACTTCTTGCTCTCCTACATCTCATCTTTCTCAAATTCAAATTCAAAATTTTATAGAGAAGTCTTAAGAACTTGCTGGTTACGATTTCGGGTGGCTTTCTTGAATCCTAGAGGTGTTTTTGCCACCAACCCTATGGTAAACTCTAGTCAAGTGGAGGCAACGGTGTATTCTACACGCTTCAAAATCACATATTTTAGTTCTTTAATCCACTACCGTTATCATGTGAACCACGTGATTGAGCCGGACCAGAGCTCCATTATTGTTGCTGCCCATCCTTGTACAACTCCTGGAAAATTAACCAAATTGTGTCATGTTCATTAACCCATTTCTGGTTTTTGTAAAAAAAAAAAGAAATGTTTTTTTTTTTTACCGGTAACCGGAGTGATGCAGACTAGACCCGTGATCATCCCCTGAACAGCGCCGATAACAGAGGCTTCTCCAAAGAACAGGACATCCAGGGAGAAAATGGAATTGTGGGGTTCTTATGGAATTGAGGGATGTGGACGGAAAAGGCAAGAAAGGAATGACTGGATGGAGGGTGGGGAAATGGGATTGTCTTCTTATCTTTGAGGAGAGGTTGAAGATGGTCGATGGTTTTGAGAATGTGAGGACTGATGACGATACTCCCACTGCTGCTGCTGTTCCTGCCAATGCATGAGTCTACTCCTCTGTGGACCCTTTCACTTCGCAATTTCTTAACATTTTTTCTTTTCTTTTTTTTTTTCTTTTTTCTTTTTTTAGATTCTGATTTTCTTAATTTTTACAGAGCCAAATTTATTCATGCTAGAAATTTTGTTTAATTTTGGCCGTAAGAAAGAGTTTTAAGTTTTCTTTTTAATGAGATTAATTTATCCACACTCTATCACTAATTGTTTTCATGTTGTTAATATTTACGTATCAATTTTATTATTAAAACACCAAATATCAAATTATACCATATATTATTTTATATTTATTATTATAAATGTATTTTATATAAATTAAATATAAAACTTCACAATAATATCTAATTAGCATAAAAAATTAATGTTAAAAAAAGTGACTAATGACTACTTGCTTAAAAAAATTACACAATAAAAAATATTTTTTTATCTTTTAACTTTCTCTACTTATATATTATGTAACTTAATTAAATTTAAAATTTTTTATTTTTAACAAAAGAAATTATTATTAAATTATTTAGATAATCAATGATGATTACTTTTCTTTGTTAATGGAAAAATTTTGTTTAAAAAAAAAGGATTTTCGTTAATTGTAGAATTTTGAATAGCATTTTTCACAATCTTCAATGACAATATTTTTTTTTTTTTGTACTTATGTCCATAAGAAAGATCTTCTTTTGTCTCTACCTGACTGCCACCCACAATCTCATTAACCCCATTCATTCCCAAAATTACTCCTTTTTTTTCCTGGGAAATGCAAAAGGAATTATTTTTATTTTGGGAGTACAAAGAGTAATTTAAACCCCTTACAAGCGATTAAGTCATTCCCAAAATTACATAAATCCCTAACATGTACAGTTCGTCCCTGCCTCCAGCTCGCCGGCTTCTGATGACTTTTGGCTCCTCCTTTTCCTTCTAGTCCCTTGCCTTCTTTTTCATCTTCC